ATATAAAGCTATTGCTAGATGGTAAAAGTAAAATGGATGCAAGTAATTGTATTGCGCAGATAGTATAGAACAAAAGAAGTTATTTAGCAAGATATATTAAAAAATGGGGAGACCACTATATACAAACTGAAGAACTTCTCATTGATTGTCAGGAAAAATATACAAAATTAAAAAGCTTAATCAGAAATATAGATTTTTGAATACATATCAAACTTGGTTGTATGAGCAAAAACCTGAGTTGCATTTTCCTTATGCCTTAAAGGTATATATAGAAAGGATATTATTTTCCCAAATAACAGATTAAATTAAAAAAAAGTCTATTTCTAAACAAACATGTCAAACATATATGCACCTATGGGGATTTGGATATGATGAAAAAAAAAAAAGTATATATTATAACGAGCATGAGCAATCAGATATAGTGGTCTATAGAAGAGAATAGCTAGATAGAATGTTTACATATAGGTAGGTTGTTAATAAATAGACCATCTTAACTTAACTGAATTTTATTAAAAAAACAAAATTTCAAATATATTTGGTATTAATAATTGAGTTCAAATAATTTGGTATTATTTGAATTGTCTTACTAAAATAGTTTGAATAATACTAAATTATCTAAATTTAATTATTAATATCCAAGAATTATAAACTAATTTTTACTTAGCCTAATCCATTAATAATGCTATATATAAGAAATATATAAAAAGTTTTAGTGATAATATGCTAAATATCGTATCAGAACCTCAACTCAAGTCTGGTAAAAAAGAAATTATACAAGTTACACATAATGAATGTTATTTTTATACAAACGATGGGCAAAAAAAAATCTAGATTAAAAAAAATGAAAGTTTTTTTCATCCAAAACATACAGGAAGATCTATTATAGTTTTAGCCTTTTTTTGCCCTTGTCATGGAGTATTATGGCTATCCAAAAAGCAAATGAAAACAAATTCATATATAAAATTTAAAGAAGCATTCATTCTTCGTTCTATATAGTCAGATGGATACTGAAAATTAGAACACATGTTGGAACAACTAATACAATGTGCAATTCTTATATTTGAGGCACTTCATCCTAACTGTGTTGGTAATTTTTGTTTTGATCAATCAACGAATCATAATGCAATGGCTGGAAATATATTAGTTGCAACAAAAATGAATCTTGGACTAGGGAAATCACAGCCTAAGTTGCATGATGGCTAGTACTTTAATAAATATGAAGAAAAAGTAACAATTAATATCATTTCCAAATAATTATAAAATAGAAAAATTAAGAGGATAGCCAAAAGAAATTAAGCAAATATTTGTCGAACATAGATTATTGCCATTACAAGGTGTTCATCTAGTATGTAAACTATGTTCTAAAAAAAATAGAATCAATAATTCAGAAAGATCAGGTTGCTATGCACAAAAAATTATATTATAGCAGCCTAATTTTTGTGAACAAAAATTAATTTTAGAGGAGCCAATTCTTGAAAGAGAGCATATTTTTGAATGATATCCCAAGTTTCACTATGAGTATAACTTTATAGAAAGGTATTGAGGCTATGTGAAATAAAAGACAAGAAGGTTATACAACTATAGCTATTTTGACTTACAACAACAGATTTCAAAGGCTCTTGTTAATGTCCCTGTAACAACAATTCACAAATTTGCTCATAAGTCTGGGAGATATATGGATGCTTATAACAAAGGACTGAAGAGTAGAATAGCTAAGTGGGCTATAAATAAGTATAAGTCTTATCAACATTTGTCTGAAAATATTAAAAGAGAAATGGATTAAATAGAGAATAATCAGTATTTATATTTTTTTAAATATTTTATATAAACATGTATTAACGCTTTTTTTTTGTAGTAGTGATTA